TCAGAAGATGTTAAGGTTCTGAGCAGCCTTTGTGCTCCTGGGTGATTCAGTGGCTTTACCTGGCTGTAATTCTTACTGATCTTCCTCTCCTTGTTCCATAGGATTCCAAAGGTTATTTAACTTTTTTTACTTTCTATAATTTTCACAACTTTTTCTGGTTTTGAGGGAAGTTTTCTGTTGCTCAGTCAGAAGTCCTGCTTCATTGAGCTGATAAGTTTATGCTTTATTCCAACTTTGTTCCTGATTATGTTTTGTTGGTGATGGGAAAATGGGAGGTGAGTTGCTCCTACATACAGAATTGCCTCCCTTTAGTCCAAGATTTTGTTGTGTGTTGTTGTTGTTGTTGTTAAGTGCCAATGAGTTGGTTCTGACTCACAGTGATCCTATATAGGGTTTCCAAGGAGCATCTGGTGAGTTTGAACTGCTGACCTTACAGTTCGAACTGACCTTGTGGGTCCAGCGAATTATCCTGCATAGCCACCCCAGCACTCTGTTGTGTAGAAGTGGCTATTGTCAGCGCTTGTGTCAGAGGTGAAACAAGGTCACGCAATAGACTCAATGCTTCCTTTGTTAAAGTTTACAGGTGTTTCATGCCTACCTAGTCCAACACCTGTGTTCTGAGCATGCTCCCTCAAAGTTTTAGGAGGAAAATTCTAGGAACATAATATTACATGGGTGGTGACTGGGAATATAACCTCTGGGGTCTGGAGATGGCCGCACAGCTAGGCCCCAGTTTATGAACTCCCCCCAAATCAGGCATCATAATGCCATTTCCTTGAGCTGCTCACTTTTTCACCTGGATAAAGAAAATGGATTTTTTTTTTTTTTTTTAGATTTACTAACAATTCTGAGTATTTCCTCTTTCCTTTCCTTTCTCTGTCCGTGTTGCCTATATAATAAGTTCATACAGCTCATCCTGATGAATACCATCAGTGATGACTTGTGAGATGAAAACAAAGGTGTGTCGAGCCATTTCCTACACGGCAAAATCCCCTTCCTTCTTTTACCAGATCACTTCACAAGTCTTTCAGTAATGGATATCTTGAATTATTTATAATATATGTGAATAACTGTTCCAAACTTCCTTTCTCTGACCACATCCTTCAAAAATGTTCATTCAGCAACTTTAACTAGGACTATTTCCAATCTCCACAGCACCCCACTCCATTGGCCATCTTGTTTTCCTTTTCTTCGTGTAAAATGTTAAAGTATAAATAATATCAAAGATGTAGAAGTACAATAAACAGTACTTCACCTGCACTTAACCATATAACATGTTACAAAATGTGCTTAGATTTTATCTTAATTTGTTTATTTCATCTTGTAAATACAATGTTTGACCAGTAAAGGTTCTTTTTTCAGAAATGCCTCAACCAGTTTGTGACATTTATTTTCCTTGAGAATTTTAGAACTTGGTTTTCTAGTTTTATATTAAAAAAAAAAAACCTTCGAAGTTTTTATTGGAATTGCATTACACTTATGATTAATTAGAAAATAATTCTCTTTATTAAGATACAGTCTTCCTATGCGTAAGTGATATGTGTGGTAGATATACCCACACACACTCACACATAGGTTTTCTTTTATGACTTTCAAGAATATGTTGTTGTGATCACATCTACCTAGAGGCAATTAGAAAGCATAACAAAATATCATCATACATTCATCTAAGTATTAAGGTCACAGATAAGTACTGAATATGCCCAAGAAACAAATGACCATCTCTGGACATGTCCAGAAACAAGATAAAATGACTGAGACAAATGAGCTGGAGGTAGACCTACACTCCATATGTAAAGGAGGGAAGGCTTTGGAAATGCCTGAGAAGGAATTCAGAAATATGATCATGAAATGTATCAAAACACTTTACAAAGGAATTGAGAAAAATAAGGAAGAAGTCAGGAAAACACTACAGGAACAATCAAATAAGATAGATACAGCATTGGAAAAAATTCAAAACCTACAGAAAGAGGTCCAAATGATTAATAATAGAATATCAGAAATGGACAATACACTGAAAGGGCAAAGGAGTAGCATTGAAGAGAGAGAAGCCAGAACCACACACTAGAAGACAAATCTCTCAATACTACTAAGATAGAAGAGCAAGCACAAAAAAAAGGATAAGAAGCTCTGAAGAAGGTCTAAGATTCATGTTACACAACATGAAGAGGAATAACTTAAGATTTATCAGCATTCCAGAACAGGAAGAATCACACAAGTCCACAGAAGAGATAGTTGAAGAGCTTCTGGAAAAAAATTTCCCTAATGTCTTGAAAAGTGAAAAGGTAAGCATTCAAGAAGTTCAATGAGCCCCAGAAAGGAAACACCCCAAAATAAAATCATCAAGACATATAATAATCAAGTCTCCAAAATCAAAGATAAGAAGAGACTCTTGAAAGCAGCTAAGGAAAAGAAACGTGTTACATACAAAGGCAAGCAAGTCAGATTAATCTCAGATCTCATAGCAGAAACCATACAGGTGAGAAAGCCATGGGGAGACATATATAAAACCCTGAAAAAAAACAACAACCTGCCAACCAAGAATCGTCTGCCCAGCAAAGCTGTTATTCAAATACAAGGGTGTAATCAAAGCATTCCAGGATAAACAGAAGTTAAGGGATTTTTCCAAAGCCAACTCTGCACTGCAAAACAGCCTAAAGGGAGTTCTGTGGACTGAGAACCAACAAGAACAGACAACAAACAGAGGTTGACATATGTGTCAGCACCACCAAGAACTCAAAAAAAAAAAGAAAAAAACTTGTGCTCTTCCAAATTATTTTGACCAATTGTTTATAAATTATTCAAAGTAAGTTCACTGATTTTATTCTCTCTGTTTTTGAATGGTGCTATTTTTATTTCTGTTATATTTTCTAATTGCTTTTTGCTGGTATTCTTACTATTCATTCTTTTATCTTGATCATTTGTTAGCAATACTGATAAATCCTCTAATTTGATTCAGTAGTTAAGATTTCTTATTTTAAAAAATCCAATCCTCTTCATGTAGCAAAGATTTTTATCTTCCTTTCAGCTATCACACCAGTTCTTATGTTTCCCTCCATATTTTAAGAACACTTTAAGAACATGGATGGATACCCTGTAGTATTGAAAATAAGATTTCTAATAGTTCTCACTATTTCATTCCAAAATCCAAATGCAGTCATTTTTCAGACTAAACAAGTTCCATTATGTGGTCCATAAAGAATTTACTTTCTTTCAGAAAAATTTTGTCAAGTGATTAAAAAAAAACAACAAAAAACCCTATTAAGATAAAAGTCTTTTTACTCTTTTAATTCATTATATTAATATTTCTTTAATTGAACCATCTTTATGTCCTGGTAAAACTCTAGAATGTGTCATAAAGTATGATATTCTGGACAGCTGTATTCTATTTCTGAAACATATTGAGGATTTGAGTATGCATGTCCACATGAAAGATTAAGCTACATATCTGTCTTAATGCAATTCTTGCCATAACAATCTCATAAAATGTTCTGGGAAGAGTTTGACTCCTTTGTATATTGTTGTTGTTGTTGTTGTTAAGTGCCGTCGAGTCGGTTCCGACCCATAGCGACCCTGTACAGGGTTTCCGAGGGTGTAAATCTTTACGGGAGTAGAAAGCCTCATCTTTCTCCCGCGGAGCGGCTGGTAGTTTCGAACTGCTGACCTTAAGGTTCACAGCCTGATTCGTAACCACTACGCTACCAGAGCTCCTTTGTATATAGTCTTAATTATATAGTGCCACTATAACATAAATACTATAAATGAATGGTTTTAACAAGCAAGAATTTATTATTTCACAGTTTAGGAGGCTAGAAGTCCACATTCAGGAACCTGGCTCTAGGGGAGAGGGCTGTCTCTACGCTCTGGGGAAGACCATCTTCTCAATTTCTCTAGCATTCTTCTTGGAGTCCTTGGAGATCTTCCTGTGGTATCTATCCTTCCCCACTTGTGCTTGTTTTTCTGTATCTTATCTGTTCATTTTATATCTAAAAAGTAATTGGCCTAAAACAAATCCTCCACTGATCATGATATCAGTAATATAACAATAAAATCCTATTCCTAAATGGGATATCCACTAATATAGGGGTTAAGATTTACAGCACATATTTTGGGGGCACACAATTCAATCCATATTATATATCAAGTGAAAAAAAGTTATATAGGATTGGACTTACCTGTTCCTAGAAAATTTGATGAATCTTAGCTATAAACTTAAGAGGACAGGACCATTGTCTGTTTTGTTGGTTTGATTTTTGGGTGTTTTTTTTTTTTTTTTTTTTCAGGTAGGGGCAGGGGGAGTTGTGAGTGACTGATTCAAACTATTTAATTTATGGTAGAAAATTTATATTGCGAAGGGCCTCAAAAGAACTGAGTACTTGGTATAAGAAAAGACTTCTGTCAGAGTAGTGAAAATTGAAGATTCTGAAACAATTAGTTCAGTGACTAATGGATGATGTGAACATCAGTGTCCATGACCCTGAGTCCAGAAAAATTAGACAGTGCCTAAGTATCACTACCAACTTCTCTGAAATAGATCACATTAGGTCCTGAATAGAGTGGGAAGAAATGTGGAACAAAACTCAAAATCATAAAAAAAATTAAAAAAAAAAAAGACCTGGCACATACAGTCTCACACTTGTCTCACCTTCTCAGCGTTCAATCCTGGGGGACACAAGTACCTCTCTGCCTTAAATCACTGAGGCACTGAGGGAGGGGGTTGTAACTGGCATGGGTCCCAAGTGATTCACTCCTCCTAAATCAGCCCTTCCCAGTCACACCTCATGATGTGGTCCCTTCCCCATTGAGAGGAGACCTTACTAGCTTTCTGTGGAGTCTGAGAGTTGACAATTAGGAGGAGTAGACACGTTGTCATGGCAAAAAGAATAAGAGGGCGGAGACATCCTAGAGGAGACAGTGTGAGCACTGGACACTTGCCCAAGCAGGCTTTGTGGGAGTAAGAGCTGTGCAGGCCAAGGCAGCGGGAGCCAGTCAATGCAGCCATGTCCTACAGGCCAGGGAGATGGACTTGGCCCTGTTGGGTGCTCCTGCTCCTCTTGAGCTTCTTGCTCTTGGTGACTCATGTTTGGTCTACCAATGAGAAAAATGACCCTGAAGACCAAACCAGCATAGCTGAGCACTTCCCAGCCACCGTGGAGTATGCTTTGCATACATTTAACCTGCAAAGCAAGGACACCCATGCTTACAGGCTAATGCGCATCCTGAGTGTGTGGAAGGAAAAGGTGAGTGAACAGTTTCACTTGGGTCTGGCCGTCCTGCATTTAGTGTTGAATTAGGGGCATGGGGGAGGGGGTACCTTCATTCACCATTTGAAGCCCAGAGTCTTGTCCTCATCAGTGGATTGCAGGCTATTTACTTTCATCCCCAGATCACTGTACTTATACATACAGCACTCCCACAGGAAAACAATTTTCCTCTGGGCTTAAACATCTGCAGGAGAGTCTGCTCCTAAAGGACACTGATGGGTGTGTGGTAGTCATTTCTTTCCTGGTTCCTGTGTCCTGAGCTTGAAAGGAAGGCAGAGGAGCAGATCCACACCCTCCCCTTTCATCTTCCATAAAGGGAGACGTGCAGGTCTCTCAAGAAGCTGGGTGGTGTTCAGCATTCACCATGACTCTGTGGCCAGAGCTCCCTCAGAAGCAGCTTGGATCAGTGTGTTCTAGTTCTGGCTTATAGGCCCCGTGCAGTTGTATAATCATTTCAGTGGGCTGGGTGGGGAGTGGGAGTGAGGGCGACATGTTATAAAAGAATGATTAAGATGGACTAGAAACACAGAGTAAAGAGAATTTCAGTTTGAGGCTAATGCTTCCTAAAGCCATTCTCCTCTGCGTGTGTGCATGTGTGTGTGCATGCTCACATGTGTAGTAGGTAGCTCTGTATGAAGTATTATTGCTGTTGGTTCAGGAAAAACGTTTGAGAACACAGCTATGGATGAGATCCCTTTCTCAGTTGACATTTCCAGCAAAGTCCTGAACAGCCATTTATTAGGTAGGCCAGCCAGCAGGTAAGCACCTGCAGCAGCTGCCTGTGTGCTGGGGGAACAGATGATTTCAGATGCTCAAGACAGTGTGGGACGGATCTCCATGCGGGGAGAGGGCTGCTTGACATCCTTAGGAGAGAGTCTGTCAATGTCATACCCCCATTTTTCCACAACTGCCTGTCTCCCTGCCTGCCTTAATTCCCTTTCTGGAGGAGACACTACCTGGCTTGACCTCCAGAGACAGCAAGACGGGTCTCTTCTATACTGAACATACCTACACTAGTAGTTACTCAAAATGACAGAAAGTGGTGACTTCATTATCACGTCTGTCTGTCATCTGCTATCTGACCCATAGATGGATAGCATGCTGGCTTTCTCTATGGAGCTGGAGCTTGGCCGGACCAGGTGCAGGAAATTTGAGGATGACATTGAAAACTGCCCCTTCCATGAAAGTCCAGCGGTAAGCAATGGGAGATACTGACTCCATTCTTTTGGGGGCACTGCATGCTTGGGGATGAGAGAGGCATGGAGAACAAATGACAAAGGGGTTGTTTCCAAGGGTGAGAACAGCACCACCATGCCACCTGCTGGTGTCCAAGCTCTATGCACAGCCAGCAGGCAGGTCCCTCTCCAGAATTCCACTCACCCTTGCCCGCATGTTGCTACAGCATGTTCCAAGGCCATTGAATTCAGAGTTCCTCCTTACTGGCTGCTTCCCACCTCCTCTCCCTTCACTGCCTTCATGGGGACAGAGTCCTGGTTCCTGCTTAGTCCTGTCATTTGTCCAAGAGACTGGTCTCAGGGTTTCCCTATCACTAAACTCAAGACTGAGGAACTGGAGCAGAGGAAGTGACCATTGTCTTACCTGACAGCTACAGCCATAGGCCTGCTGAACTTCAATGGCAAGCCTCAGGGGTAAGAATGAGGTGACCCAGATGTGGATTGAATAGTACCCTCTGGTACTGAGGGTCCTGTGGCTGCTCTGGGAGCCCCCTGTAGACCACAGATATGGGGAGGTGGTAAAAGATATCTCTGGACCATAAAAGACCCAGACCAAGCAGAGTTCAGGACATCCTTTAATCTGGTGCTTTCATCTGAGAGCCAGGCCTGCATTCCAGAGCGGCCGACCCCCTAACAAGGCCTTGTTGTCATTGGACATGGCAACAGACCATCTTTTCTGAGTTCAACTACAACTCCCAAGGACTTCTCCACCCTGATTTTTCACACAATGTCCCCACAGACCCTCAGCTGCTTCTTCACCATCAGCACCCAGCCTTGGAGAACCAAGTTTGATCTCCTGAACAGCACCTGCGTGGAGGGTGTCCCAGGCTCCTGACCTCACCACAGGGCCATGCTGCTCTTCCTGAGATACCATCAACTTTTTGTCAGCCGCTTTTCATGACAAAGGGTTTATGTTGCTGCTCTCCTGGAAACCAAGGATCTTGTCCTCTCCCCAGGAACTTGGATCTTGTAGAAATAAATAGTTACTTCTGCAGTCCCCTTGTATAGAATAGGCCATTAACTGTCAGCATTTGAAACCGTTTTGTGTTCAGTGGTTTTTGGGGATTGGGGCATGGAACAGGGACAAGAATTGTTGTTGTTGTAGTGCACCGTGGAGTCAGTTCCGACTCATAGCAACCCTGTATAGGGTTTCCGAGGCTGTAAATCTTTATGGGAGCAGAAAGGCTCATCTTTCTCCTGCGGGACAGATGGTAGTTTCGAACTGCTGACCTGGCGGTTCGCAGCCCGATTCGTAACCATGCTACCAGAGCTCCTTGGGACAAGAATAGTCAACCCTAAAACACATTAACCCCTCAAATTCCCGTGGCCAGCACAACCATGACCTACAAGCTAATGGTCCCCTACCCCAATAACCTATGTCTCCCTCATACTCAACAGGAATTCTCTCTGTGCCAAAGTTATCCCTCCAAAAAGCAAGTACCAAATGCAGGTATGGGCCATTCTGAGGATGGACTCTCTCAGAGGAGGGGGTATGTGTGAATGCCCCTGTCTCCCGCTTCAGGACCAAATCACAGTCATGTCCCAAACAGTTCTCAGAGCAATCTAGCAGGATCAATTCCATTGTCTCCATAATAGTTTCTTCTTGGACTCATGTTCCTGCTGTGCTTCCTGGAATTGTCTCCCAAATGAAGCTCTGCAAACAGCCCTGGTTCTGGGTGTGCTTAAGGAAACCAAACAAAGACACATGGTGTCAGAGACCAGCTTCTGGGAATGTGTCTTCCACAGAAAAAGCTAAGCAGAAGGGATACACAGAACATGAAGTATAGATAGGGCCAGGGTGAAAGCCAGGCCTGAACCTCCCATTATCAGCCAAGAGGATGGCCTTGGCTGCCGCTACTTCTCCCTTTAGAATCTAGACCCTACATTGCCCTGCTCTGTCTTTACTCAGCTTTGAGTAAATGTATCTCTCTCCTAGAACCTCCATTTCCTTTTCATTGAGTTCTAGACATAACTCAACCAGTAAAAGGAAACTTAGAGAAGGGTCCCTCTCTACCCTGATTCCAACATGAGTTTTCCAAAGATCCACCCCCATCCCACTCTGAAGCCATTTCCAGGCAGTCCTCTTTGGGTGTCTGGCCACCTGAGGAAGATGTGGCCCCAGAACTCTTAAGGGGCTAGGAGCAGAGGCTAACAAGACCAGCAGCCAAGATGTTGGTTCCAGGGCACAGCACATGCATTCCCACTTCACTGAAATTAAGGCACATACTTCCTCAGTGTCTATACCCTCAGAGGGGCATCTCGATGGAGCCAGAGGTATGGTGGTCACACTGCCTCCAGGGTCTTCAAGGGTATGTGGCACGAAGCAGGATTTATGGGAAGTTCTTTCCTCTCTGGAGGAGCCCACAGAATGGGAGAACTGTTTCAAAATGTACCCAGAGATCTCTTTCAGCTGCTGGGGGTCCTTCCCATATATGCTTTCTGAGATACCCCATACTCTAAATCTCCACTTTGTGCCCAGACTCAGAGTACCCTCACTCACTTACAAATACTCCTAGGATAGACACCCAGGCTCCCCTGCCAGTCTCAAACCTGGGAAAGGGGCTTCTCTGTTTTAATAGGTACATTTTAGACTGTCTTCTCCTTTTCTTTCAAAAATGTTTGTGAGTCTTGGATAGAGAATGAGGTGTCCTCTGAAAAGCAAGTCTCCAGAGAAGGGAGGGAGGAGCATTAGTTAGGACACTGCATGAGCTTACCTGCTTTAGGTGGCTGAGTCTCCACTGAAGGTATGAAGGCCCATATGTCCACACATCTGGGTTCACCCATGCAGATATAAAAATGTGCCACCTGTTACAAATCTCAGTGAGGCAGGATATAGTTTTCTGTGCCTATTGGCCTCAGTACCCATCACTGTCATAGTCTGAGTCTTCATCCTGACTCGGGGCTATGTCAGAGATGCAGGATGAGACTGACTAATGCATTGCTGATATCAAACCAGTTGTTTTAGGCTATTCCCTGATCTCAGCTGAACTTTGATGTGGGACAGTAAAATTTAGCAGGACCATAGGCATGCATTTGCCTGCCAACTGCAAGGTTAGCAGTTCCAACCTACTAGCCCATATTTGGGAAAAATATGTCTGCTTCCATAATCATTTAGAACAGAAATCCTTATATAGTGTTGCTATGAGTCAGAATCGACTCAATAGCATTGGGTTTGGGGGTATAGATATTATGGGTGAGATGAAAACAACAGATCCAGGTATTTGTGAACCCACGACATAACAGCTGATCAGTGGTGCTGTCAGGCTGCCTTTGGGACCAGTGTAATTGGCTCACTCTGTCTATGAAGCAACATGAAACACAACTGCACATCTACAGTGCTTTGGGGTTGAAGGGCCAAGATAGAGAAATGAGTTCTTCCAGTTATGCAGTGACATAGAGAGCCAGAAGTAACAATATAGAGAGCCTGCGGTGGGAGAGAGGTATGTGAAAACTGCTCGACAGTGACCCTGGAGCTCTATGAACACACAGAGGAGAAAGACCTTGTTTGAAGATGCGGTAAGGGGCAAGCAGAGTATCCCTGCACCAGTCCTCCCTAGAACATGGCAGCTGATAAAACCAGGGAGGTAGGTAGAGGTGAAGTGGGCCCTATTGTCTGGCTTCACCAAGGAAATCCCCAAGATTGGCCCCTAGCTTTACTGCGCACAGAAGTCAACCTGAGATAAAAATTCAAGAGCAAATGGTGTGTTCAATGGTGATCCCTGGAAACACCAACAGGTCAGTTTTGTGGAACTAGAAAGGGACAGAAGCAGTATATGAACACTAACATAAACAATATGTGCAACTAGGACTCCATCTTTGTGTGTGTATGCAAATGAGACTCAATCTTTTTCCTTTTTTGGGTGTGTGATCCATAAGGTCTTCTTTTCTTAACTTTATTTTGAATTGTGAATTGAATGAAGGTTTACAGAGTAAATCAGAGTTTACCATTTTACACTGAACAATTCATACACTTCAGCTTATCTCAAGGAGTGCAGTCCCCTTAGTGTAATATCACTTATCCTACTTCCTCCATGTTACTTATTTCCAATCCTCCTTCTTTCTCAACCTTTCTGAACTTTGTCCTTGAATAAATGCTGCTCTATTGCATTCAATGGTTGACCATTCTATGATGTGTGTACTTCACTAGCATTGTTGTTCCCCTTATACATCACTCTATTGCTTGGCTGAATGTTGAGCCATGAGTTCAATTCCAGACTTGAAGGGTGACCAAGGGCCATACTCTTGAAGTTCCATCAGTTTCTATAAACCTGGTCTTCTTTTATGATTTTGAGTTTTGTTCCATATTCTTTCCCTCTCTATCCAGGATCTTCTAATATGATCCTTTTTAGAACAATTGGTAGAGAGTCAGCAACCATCCAGTTCTTCTGAGCTCAGCGTCCTTGAGACTGATGTTCTCACATGGTACATTAATCCATTGGACTAGTTATTTCAAATCAAGCTTCACATTTCATCTTTTTCTTTCTTCCAGACAGGGAAAGACCAACAGTTACAGCTTGACCAATCATGAGCTTTTAATTTCCCAGTCATGGCACTGTAGGATAAGCACTGGACTGCTGCTAACTGCAAGGTTGGTGATTCAAACCCACCAGAAGCTCCTTGGAAACCCTGTACAGGGTCGCTATGAGTCAAAAGCAACTCAATGACACTTAACAAACTCACCAAAGTAGGATGTATAACATTGTCTTTGTGGACTATATTGTGCCAATTGACCCTGGTGTACCCTGGACTATGGTTCTAAGCCTCTTGGTTCAAGATGTTGGTTATGTTTAAGAAGTTTTTATAACTTTGTGAGGCTCAATCTTGTTGGGGACATCTCAGACACTGGGCAGAACACACCTCAATTTTCTCTTTCCAGGGGCAAGAAGTCTTGGGTGTTTACTCTCCAACTCTGTCACTGGCTGAGAACTCCTCCCAGGAGCACTATTCCCCAGTACTTCCAGCTTAATCCTTACTGGGCTTAGGTAGTGAGTCTCAGATGCTTACAGGATCCCCTGCCAGAAAACTACCTTGAAATGTTGAGCTGTCTACCAAGATGGCCTCCAAGCCTCACCATCTCTCATGAGTCTAAGCTGGAGCCAGACCTTGTGTTTTGCTGACATTTCACTACTAGCCTCTGCATGAAGGCTAATCCTGATGTTTCCATATCCAGACAGGAAAGTGCTTTCTTTCTGGTCATGTTATAAATCTTCATCATCTACACACTCTCTCTCACACACACAGATATGCATGCACATGAACAAACATTCACATGTACTCACATAATACCTAGACATACACACACGCATACACACTCACACACCCACACACACACACATATACATAAACACACGTACTGTGGTAGCCAGCTCCAAGACAGCCTCCAGTGGGCCCATCTCCTGGTCTTCATACCCTGTATTATCTCTTAATACATTGAATTAAGGCTGATCTAGAAAAAAATAATGATGTATGACTTCTAAAGTTAGGACACAAGTAGCATTGCGGCTTCTATCTTTGTCTCTTGGAACATTCTTTGAGGCATTCAAGCAGTCTTATGGATGACTCATTTAGAGAAGAACAGAGACCTCCATCAATAGCTAACATCAACTTGCTAGTCATGTAGGGAAAGTAGATTCTCCAGAACCAGTTACGCCCCTCAAATTCCTGACCAACAAAACCGTGAGAGAAAAAATCATTGCTGCTTTAAGATGTTACATGATGAGGTGGTTTGTCATGTAGCATTAGATATCTAAAATATTCACTTACACACACCCTCATACACAGGCACACACCAATGCACACATCCACGCACACACATATACATATGCCACGCACACATACACACTTACAGATACACACACAGATGCATTCAGTTATACACATATATACATCCCAAACAATCATACATATACAGATAACATATACATATACAGATATATACACTAATACACACACCACACACACAAACATGCAAAAATGTTGCCTACTCTTCAGGTACCATCACTTTTACATTTTTTCTGTCAAAATACAAAACAAAATTCTGAATGAACCAATTTAAGATCTATCTCTATGATATACCAAAGAGACAGATCTTAAATTTAAAACTAAAACTATTCCTAAGCTATTTGGGCCATGTCATCCCAAGAATCTTAAGCAAGGTAGCCAGGTCATAGAACCTTGTAAAAAAGTACCCACCAGCTTGATGTAATTGGGGGTTGATCATCCAGGTATTATACAGAAAGTGAGTGAAAATATATACCCAGTTTGTGAGTTGTGGAAACAGTTCACACTCTACAATTTTTAAGTAGCAGAAGGTCCCCACTATATATATAGTTATTCATTCAACTATAAGAGGCTGCCCAGTACTGTAAAAAGGAATCACATGCTCTTAGCACCAGGCCTGAAGAACATATAAAATAGCAAAATGGCCAAAAATTTAAGGAAATGAGTCAGGTGTGTTGTTTACATGTCTTGCAGTATCTTTGTTTCTTCTTTACAATGCAAGTGAGAGTGGCAAAATGTGCTAGAAGACAATTAGACATCTTTGCACTGTTTCTTCAACATTTTGAGTTCAAACATCCAGGGTTTAGATGCAACAATGAAGGTGCAAAGAACTATCTAAGGAGACAAAAAAAAAACCAGTCTGTATTAAAATAATAATAATAAATACAAAAATAGTTTCTATTTCCCTGAACTGAGATTTCATGTCAGTGACCTGATGGTCAGAAGCCACCATGCCATTGGAGCTGTTGATCTAGAATCCTGATGATAAAGGAGCCAGCCTCACTCATCAAGGTGGATCCTGGTCAAGACGCTATCACTCTTATCCAAATCACTGTGAACATGGATCTTATCTGCTCAAAGAGAGCAAGGATGGAAGTCCAAGGGCTGGTTACCCCTGAAAGTCATATTTCCAACTCAAAGCCCTTTATCCAGTCATGTCAACTTCCTTTTGGCCCACAGAGACTCTACACTGCATGAGAACCCAATAGGACCTGCCCAAATGAGGCAACCTAATAAGAATGAGACAGATTCTTTTGTACCTAGGGGAGCGGGTATCAGAATATAGCCAGAGTCCCAGTTTGCATGACACATCCCTGAAAAAATCCACATCCTAGAAAACCCCAGGTCCTGGACAAACTAGGACCCTATAAGTATGACCTATGGAAAGGCATTCAGCACAGTGAGAAAAATAGCAAGCCAGTCCTAATTATTTCAGCCATCTCAGGTAAGGCAACAAAATGTATAAGTAAAGATGACATCTGGAATATTATTGACCCAGCAGACAGCACAAAGAATATAATCGTTGGCCAGACCAGATTGCAGAATAGTGAGAAATAATGATTTCTAGTTACTTTAAATCACTCAGTGTGTGCCTGTGCAATGGGAAAGGGAAGGTGGGAGTGGTTTTAGCAATAGAACATGGAAACAATACTTCATGTTTAGAATGACCACTTATAGTCCTGAATATCAGCAAAATGTGGTTTTAAAGAGTCTCTGTGCGGTGCAAAGGGTTGACATGCACTGCTGTTAACCAGAAGATTGGAGGTTTAATTCTACCTGGAGACATCTCAGAAGAAAGACCTGATAATCTACTTCCACTGAGAGCCTATGAGCACAATTCTATTTTAACCCACATGGAGTCACCATGATTCAGTCAAGTTCACAGCAACTGGTTATTTCTGGTTTAAAAGGAAACTAGAAGGCAGAAAGAGGATTGATCATTACCAGTTTTCTTACCAGTACCATCAGAAACTCTGATCTCAGCTACATACCTTTTGCATTTGAGGATCCTGTTGAAATAAGCAGTTTTCATTTTCTCCTGAAATTTTCTTGCACATTGTTCGGGCAATTTTGACTTCAATATAGTAATCCAAACTATCTGTGACCTGTCAATGGATAATTTAAAATTTAAATATCATGAAAGAATACAAAGTGTCAATTGTTCATATCTAAAAATAGATATATCTGTGAATATGGTGGTGCATAAAGGGAACAAAGTTATGAAAATTTCTTAGCCATATCAAATATCTTGAGGGAATGAGTCGCTCTGCCTGGGGCCTCAGAATCATAGTCCGAAGGACACCATGGTCAACTGGCATAACATAGTCCACAAAGACAATGTTCTACATCCTACTTTGATGAGATAGCAAATTGGGTATTAAAACTCACGAGTGGCTATCTATGGTATAACTATTGGTTTCTTCCTGCCCAGAAGAAAGAAAAGTGATCAAAAGTGAAGACACATGAAAATAATTAGTCCAAAGGCCCACACAATCATTAATCTCAAAGATCGGAAGTACTCGACAGGTGCCAGGCTATCAGTATCAACTGCTCTGAAAGGCATCAGATTAGAAGGTATTAGAGAGACCACTGGCCTAGTATTGTTAAAATTTCCCCCTATTGCTTTTAAATTTTGAGTCTTATTAAGAAATTAAAACTATTTTAATTTGAACTATAATCCAGTGAAACTAATGAGACCAGTTTTAGTTTTGCTGTTAATATTCTGCTCTTTTGAAAAATTGAGTCTGCTTAGAGAAACAGACTCTGGTAAAAATATATCAATAAGAAGTGTTCACTGAGAACAATAATAACAGTAATCATTGTATTTAATCTACAAAACAAATTATTATGAAATGTCCATTTTATGATTGTAATCAAAGTATCATCTCCTTTCTATACATTTTGAATCCAGATCAAGAGATCCAACCTCAACTTGAGTTGGTTTTAAGAAAATAAAAATCAATTTGTTCCTCGAATATGACTTTACCCTACAGTTATAGTGATCATAGAATTTATACTGAAATTCATGATCAGATGAAGGAACAATATGTGGGGGTGCACACACACACAAATATTTTTTGGTCATTTTGCCTGTTTCTGAAAAATGACTCATGACTCTTAGTAGCAAAGGGCCATCTGCCCATGGCAAAAACACTTGGAATGCTTTCAATATTCCCTACAGTACGATCCACCCTTTGTCACATGCTTTTTTTAACCGAATTTTAGATTTGTTTTTGCAAAGGATTTTAACATTTTTATTCCCAGGTTTACCTGATATCACCCCAAAATGTTATCTATGTTAGAAGACATATCAGAAGAACTCAATCAGAACCCTACTAAAATCAACTAAATTTAGTGTCTCGCCGTAACCACATCTGTCACAGGCTTAAGGAACTAAAACACTACTTTTGGACTTGAAGTAGAAGTGCACTAGTGTGCAGAAACAGAAGACCTTAATTCCCAAGGTCTCAGACTTAGAATTCACTAAACTTTATTCAAATCTCTATTGCTTTTGGCTACCCAGAATTGGGGGAAGGAAATACAGAGGCAACAAGTGACTGGCTTACAAGCTTTCAAGAGGGAACCTAGATTCAGAGTGCATGGAGCATGGTAGAATCTCCAATGAGTAGTGTTCATTCTGCCTAGTCAGGGCTGATGAAAGGAGATGCGGATAGGTCTCCTGTGATACAATAGCTAAACATTTTTATCAGGACTGAGTGTAAGGGCTGGAAATGTAAAGGTAGACATTTTGGGGCAAAGGGAGGGAAGTGATTAACCTTACAGTCTAGGAGTGGAGGTCCCTGGGACCATCAAAGGAGAAGAGCAGAGAATGGAACTCTACCCAGAGAAGCAGTGATGCCAGGGATGGAGGCAGAGACGATGATGTGGGGAGATGGAGCAGTTGGAGACTTTGGATCTGGAGAGAGAGGGGGGAGATGTGGATGACAGGGGGGCAGGCTTGCGGGGTTATACCCTTTGGTTGATTGATGATGCATGGAAGGGATTGTAACCATGGCAAGGAAACGATATACAACGGGGATCAATGTGAAGCTGATGTCCTCCCATGTAAAATATCACTTAATTCACAACAAAGCATTAAAAATACAAAAAAGCAAAAAATCTCTATTGCTTTTGAGGTCGCCTTACCATGGCAATTGATTTTATAGACTGGTAAAAAAAAAATTTATATTCAATATTAATTTTTATAATATTTCCTATTGTGTTACATACCTTAAGTTTCTGTAGATAAATAGTTTGCCTTAGTGAATGTATGTTATTTGAAAGTATTGCCTTAGAACTGACCCTGATTGTTCTTTTTGTTCGTTTTGTTCTATATCTTATTTAATTACTTTGTACAAGTGAACCTCTCTGTGTTTAACTACAAAGTTTTCCTTTATATATAAAGGCGTCTACATGAGTAATAATTTTAAATTGCATTCTGCTTGTAACAGGACTGTGTTGTCAGTGTATTTAGAGTGAAAGAGATGGCTCTGACCAAGGTGATGTGCATTTGTCTCTGCTCAGCTCTTCAATAAGCCTGATGGGATCCCTGGACAAGAACCAGTTGGTATCTGGTGAAATACCATCATGAGTTTTAAAATCTTGCCAGATTACCCAGTGAAGTCCAGATTTGGGTAATCAATGTTATTGCCCTCAATCTCTGACCAAGAGGAGGGAATACTGAAGAGCATGAAATCTAACAGCTTTTTACCTGCAAACAACTCCAGCCAAGCAGAACTTAAGTCCATCTTGTACCTAGGTGTAAGTGTTCAGATGCCAATTGTTCTTGAGTACCTCATGCAATGCTGACAACTGAACTGCCAGAGTTCAAAGCAGCATATAGTTAAATAGGTTTAATACTATTTTCCCAGCTGTTTCTCATAGAAACATTCCTGGGCAGACCCCTAATGCTCTGCTGGTTGTGACGTCATACCCTGAGCGCCTCAGAGACAATCTGTAAACTTTCTTATCTGCAATAATCCCTCCCTGTTTCCATAGGATTAAAAAATACCACAAGTTGTTGTTGTTGTTATGTGCCGTGGAGTCGGTTCCGACTCATAGCGACCCTGTACAGGGTTTCCAAGGCTGTAAATCTTTACGGGAGCAGAAAGCCTC